CAGAGAATTCAGAGTCCAATCAGGAGATGCTCATGGGAGTTGGGGCAGGTGGCACTGGAGACTCTAGGGAAGACCACTACAAATTTGATACCATGTTGAGGTGGCCACGTGAACATAGCTGCAAAACCAGAGACCCAGCACAACGTATGACAAGACTCCGGGACTTAAAAACCCAGACAACAATGCAAACCCACAGTGGACTACCAGGAACTTTTGAATGTGACAGCATAAACCATCTTATCGTATCAGTGTTGAGTCATGAAGGCTGGGACTTGTGGTGTGGTTGTGTAAGAGAATGTCTTTTTGGGGGTGAGGGGGAATGCCTGTTGAAGTGTTTAAAGTGTCCTGGTGTCTGGCACTGTTAAATGGTCCAGCAACACACATTCACGTAATCAATATTTACAGATGGGGGTGAAGCAAATGCTGTAAAATATGAAGCTTTTTAAGGCAAAGGTTGTTGTTGTTAATGCCGTTGAGTCGGTTCTGACTCACAGCGACCCTGTATAGGGTTTCTGAGGAGCAGTTGGTGGGTTTGGACTGCTGACCTTGTGCTTCACAGTCCAGTGCTGATCCTACACCCCATTCCAAGAGTCCAGGCAAAGGTGGTGGAGATGTTTGCTATGTTATTCTTTTTACCTTTCTGTAAGTGAGATGTTTTAAAAAAAATAACTGAGTGCATGAAGACGGCTGAGAAATCAGCAGAGTTCTACGTACGGTGTAGACTCTCCATTCCTACCCGGGTCCCCGTGTGTTTATTCAGCACAGGTGGGGCAGGACTGGCGCCTGTTGTCATTTGAGCTCATTTCCTGGTTTGTTCTGTCCCCTCTGGAGACACAGTCAACATGCTCCTTGTAATTGTCGGGCTCAGCTGGCTTGCTGATGGGGGGAACTCAAGGCAGGTCCCAGAATGCATTCTCATGTGTGCGCTGGGCCACTCCCAAGGGGGTGGCAGGAGCAGCCACCGGCTGAGCACACATGTAGCCCCAGGCACTGTGTGTCGGCCCCAGCTCTCCTGATTCTCACTGACCAAACCTGGATGAGGGTCTCTTGTCACCCCCAGTTTTTGGATGAGGCCACAGGGCTTAAGAACTTGCCTAAGATCACTTCTAGCCAAGGGCAGAGTGAACATGTAAAGCCCCTGGGATGGAGAACTCTCAAGGCCCCCTGGACTGCTGTCCAGCAGATCTCAGCCTGGAGGTGCCCGTGCTGGCCTCCTCCTGGACATACGGTGAGCTGGGCTCAGGCAGCCAATGTGGGGATGGGCTTACTGTTTGGCTCTAGCCCTGTTGTCCCTCAAACTTGAGTAAGTTCCGTGTGGAACCTGTTTCCTCTGCCATTGTTACATGGAGACTGGACCCACTGCCCACCCAGTTGAGTCCAACTCATAGTGACCCTACTGGATATTGTAGAACTGTTCCTTAGGGGTTCTAAGATTTTTTCATGAGCAGCCAACCTCATGTTTGTCAAAGCAGCTGGTGGGTTTGAACCTTCAACCTTGTGGTTAGCACCCTGTTGTTGAACCTACAACACTCCCAGGACACCTTCCACAGAGAACAGACCCTGTAAGTTCAGTGGCTTGCCCCCATCTTTCCTTTCTGCTACTCCACCGTCTGTACTGGGGGGCTAGGGCAGCCTCAGGTGATGTCAGCTGGGGCCACAGGTGTGGTTGAGCTAATCATGAACCATCCCTCCCACTTGGCTGGTTATGAGGCGTGGGGCAGGGAGTATTGGAACTTGGCTGGTTTGCACCGGGAGACCCCTGACAGGGCAACTTAACAGCCTGTCAGGACCCCTCTGGGAAGGGCATTGGGCCTAGCAGGCATCTGCTTCATCAGGAAGTTTTGGTTTCTTGGACGAATCTCATGGGATTAAGGTGAGTGAGGAAGAGCCAATCCTGAAAGGTTACCTACAGTATGATTCCATAGCATTCTTGGAATAACAGAATGGTAAGAATGCCAGAGGTCAGGGACTGCTGGTGGTAGGCTGCTATGAACGGGCAGTCAGAAGAATGCTGGTGGTGATAGGGATGTTCTAGATCTTGACTATATGAATGTTCTTGCTCTGATAATGTGCTCTCGTTTTGGAAGATGCTACCACTCGGGGAGCTCTGGTAGCACAGTGGTTACGAATTGGACTGCAAACCTTAAGTCAGCAGTTTGAAACTACCAGCTGTTCCGTGGGAGAAAGATGAGGCTTCCTGCTCCTGTAAAGATTTACAGCCTTGGAAACCCTGTACAGGGTCACTATGAGTCGGTTCCGACTCCATGGCACATAACCACCACCACCACTCGGGGAGGAGTCTTTGAAACCAAAACACTGGATATAAGGTATGAACCACAAAGTCGGTAGTTCAAAGTCACCAGCCATTCCTTGGACACCCTATACTGGGTCACTATGAGTTTGAACGGACTCAGAAGCACTTAGCATCACCACCACCACCTGGGAGAAACCAGGTAAAGGTACACAGTATCTCTGTATTATTACTAACAAGTAAATGTGAATCTAAAATGATCTCACAATTGTTGTTGTTGTGATGTGCCGTGGAGTCGGTTCCAACTCATAGCGACCCTACACAGGGCTTCCGAGGCTGTAAATCTTTACGGGAGCAGACCGCCTCATCTTTCTCCTGCGGAACTGCTGGTAGTTTCGAACTGCTGACCTTGCGGCTCGCAGCCCGATTCGTAACCACTATGCTACCAGATCTCATGATAAAAAGGTTAGTTTAAAAAGGTGATCCTCATTATCATTGAGTCCATTCTGACTCCCAACAACCCTTTAGGACAGAAGATATATAATAACTGCACCATTGCATTTCCAAGGCTGTAATCTTCATGGACAAGGAACTGCCAGAAATTTAAGGCAGATTCAGAAAAGGACATGGAACAAGGGATATCACGGCTGATGTTGGACGATCTTGGCTGAAAGTAGAGAATACCAGAATGATGTTTACTTGTGTTTTACTCACTATGCAAAGGCTTTTTTTTTTGACTGTGGGGACCATGACAAACTGTGTGTAACACTGAGAAGAGTGGGCATTCCAGAACACTTAATTATTCTCGTGAGGAACCTGTACATAGACCAAGAGGCAGTTGTTCGAACAAAACACGAGATACCGAATGGCTTAAAATCAGGAAAGGTGTGTGCCAGGGTTGTGTCCTTTCGCCATACTTATTCACTCTGTATGCTGAATAATCTGAGAAACTGGATTATATTGGGAAAATAATGTATCAGGATTGGAGGAAGACTCATGAACAACTTTCGATATGCAGGTGATACAACATTGCTTGCTAGAAGAGAAGAATTTATATACTTACTGATGAAGATCAAAGACCACAGCTTTCAGGATGGATATTGTACCTCAACGTAAAAAAAATAAAAGATCCTCACAACTGGACCAATAAAAAACATCATGATAAATGGAAAAAAGATGGAAGTTGTCAAAGACTTCATTTTGCTTGAATCTATAAGCAACACTCATGAAAGTAGTAGTTAAGAAATCAAACAAAGTATTGTATCAGGCAAATATGCTGTACCAGACCTCTTTAAAGTATTCAAGAGGAGAGAGAACCTGTTTGAGGGCTAAGAGGAGCCTGACCCAAGCCAAGGTATTTTGAATCACCTCATATACATGTGAAAGTTTGGCAGTGAGTAAGGAAGACCACAGAAGAATTGTTGCCTTTAAGTTGTGGTGTGGGAGAAGAATATTTCAAGTACCATAGACGGCCAGAAGAACAAACACATAAGTGCTGAAAGAAGTACATCCAGATTGTTCCTTACAAGCCAGAATGGAGTGGCTTCATCTCTCATATTTTGGGCATATTATCAGGAGGGATCAGACCAGTCTCTGGAGAAGGGCAAAGGACATCATGTTTGGTAAAGTAGAGGGTCAGCGAAAAAGAGGAAGACCCACAAGGAGCTGGACTGACACAGTGGCAGCAGCACTTGTGAGGACAGTGAAGCAATGGGCAGTTCCATTCTGTTGTACACAGGGTCGCTAAGAACTGGAACCCACTAACGGACACCTAACAACAACAATATTTATGGAGGCAGACTGGCACATCTTTCTCCCTCAGAGCAACTGGTATGGTCCAACTGCTGACCTTTTGGTTACCAAACACTTAGCCACTGCAACACCCGGGCTCCCCCTGGAGTGTGTGTGCTGGGGAGGAAATGAAGAAAACCCAGTGAGACGCACCTTGGAAGGCAGACCTGGTGATCTGACAGCCTTGAAAGCCCTGTGGGGCAGTTCTGCTCCACCCTCGTGGGGGCGCTGTGAGTCACAATCCGCTTGATGGCCACTTACCACATACAGTATGGTGAGATATTAGCACCGATCCTAAGTGGGGTTGGGGTGCGTGGAAATCCATTACACTTTATTTTCTGAATGTTTAGATTATCTAATGAGAATACCCTCTGGATTTACAGTCAGCCTTCTATGTGGGCATCTTGGCCCAAGTCTGGTCCCCTCAGGCTAGTGTGTTAGAACCGCAGATCTGCAGCTTTGTGAGGGAGACGGGGAGTTGTCCTGCCCCCTTGGAGAACCATGTTCTGGCTTCCTTCTGTCCTCACTTCACCTGTGATGGCATCTGAAGGCCGGAGACTTTCACTCCCTATGTTAACTTTTTCAGCGCTTGCCCTGCTGAATCCCCTTGGTGTATTAACGCAGCAGGCTAAACTAGACTTCTGAACTTATTCTTGGTGAGAGTTCCTCCTAGACTGAAAGAAGTGTCTGCCACAAGGACACATCCTAGAATCCATATGTTTTGTGTATTTGAAAAATACAGGGCTACAGAACACCAGAATGCATTTACTAGGTAGCTCAGTGACAACTTTACAGTATATTCAAAGGGGACTAAAGGACACACACAGAATCGTATCAGTGTGAAAATAGACAAGAGTGTCCACAGGATCAGTTCAACAGGAATATAGCTTGAATAATCATTAAAGAATAAAACGTTCCACCTCGGCGTTACTAGGACAGACTTGGCGGTAGAGCAGGTCTACTCACATGGGTTCTGGATGACAATCAGGAGATACTCTTTATCTAGGCAAAGAGATGAGCAGAATTAGTATACCCTCTGCACTCCACGGAATAAACGTAGACCTCACAATGTCGCCTGGACTGTGGGTAGACCCGTGATTTCCAGCCCTAACTGCGCATGACTGCAATGTGTAGCTGGGATGAGAAGACAGGTGTCAACTGAACTGTCGTTGGATTCTGGGTAATTCTATGAAGAAGCAAGCTGTAGGCTAGCCTGAGGAGGACAGGGTACTGTTTTGCACGGACATCTAGTCCCCTGTACAGGTATTTCCTCCAGGAACATAAGTGTCTGTGTGTGGTTGCGGCGTGCTGGTAGACCTGGTTGATGTAGGTGTAAGTCCGTACAGGTCTTTCATCTACAGCTATTCTTGGCTTCCTCTAGGACAGAACACCTCTCTCCCCATATTCTGAGAGTCTCTGTGCTGAGCTGACTGGAAATGTGACCTACATCTCCTAAATTTTCTGATTAGTAACAATCAGTGCACACGAGCAAAATCCAGCTTACTGAGAGGTCAAATTTGTTGCTAATTTCACAGAAATTCTTGTGTCTTCATTTTTTTTTTTCTCTCTCTAAATTAAAGACTATGATGTTTCGTGTTGTTGTATATTAAAATTTATCTTCCATGGTCTTTGAAACCAAGTTTTTATCCAGGAAAAGATACGGATGTTTTTAAAGTATAAAATGAGATGCCAAGTTACCTGGCGCGACCATGATTTCATGTTTCTTTGATCTGATTCTAAGAAAAGTTAGGTCGTTCTGAGGGTCAATGTCACGGACAGTGCTCTTGGCCTTCATGGTCAACTGGTGAAGAAGTCCTGCGTACTGGACTGTTGTTGAATTGTCCAACGTTGTTCGGATTGGGATGCCTGTTGGGAGAGTTCACAATTGGGACAGATTCTTTTTTATGATTGTAAAAGTGACATGCACACTGTAGAAATGTTGGAAAGTACTGATTGTCAATAAGCACTTATTATTAGACGTCAGTAGCTCAAATCCACAAGTGGCGCCATCAGAGAAAAGACCTGCCCATCTGCTTCCATTAGGATTAGAGTCTGGAACACCTGTGGGGAGGCAGTGCTGCTCTGTTTATATGGGCACTATGAGTTGGAAGAGGAGCTCTGGTAGCGTAGTGGTTACGAATTGGGCTGCGAACCTCAGGGTCAGCAGTTCGAAACTACCAGCTGTTCCGTGGGAGAAAGATGAGGCTTTCTGCTCCTGTAAAGATTTACAGCCTCGGAAACCCTGTACAGGGCCGTTATGAGTCGGAACCGACTCCACGGCACATTACAACAACATGGTGCTGTGGGGTAAGCACTGGACTTCTAACTGCAAAGTCGATGGTTTCAAACCTACCAAGTTCTCCTCAGAAACCCGACTCAATGGCACTTGATGACAACTGTAAAAGTTTTGATACACTGCATGTACCAATTCAACATCTTCACGTCAACAATCTAATGGAATCCACATTATTTTTAATGGCTGCACATTTTAACCATTTTATGGATATGCTGTTAAGTGCTACCAAGTCGATTCCGACCCCATAACGAGCCTCTATAGGGTTTCCGAGGAGCAGCTGATGAGCTTGAACTGCCAATATTGCAGTTCAAACGGCTTTGCAGTCTGGCCCATTAACCCACAGCGCCACAGCATAACTCCTTTTATGGATATGTCATGACTTTAATCGGACTGGATGGCACTTAACAACAACACTCTTGGATAGTTAAGTCGTCATTTGCAAGTTTTATTATTATTATTATTTTTATAGCTAATAGTGCAGTCAACATTCTTGTGCGTAATTTTTTGGGAAGTTATTCATCAGGTATATAGTAGCTGAGGTAACATACTATTAAATCCATTCCCCCAGAGTCCGTCCGCCCTGCCTTCAGTTAGGCTGCTTTGAAATGCTTCATCTGTGACAACTTGCTAAGTCTTCTTCCCTGTGGTCAGAAATGCAAAGGGAGTTCACCGCACATGCTGGGGAGAGTATCCCAGGGATTTGGGGGATTTCTTCCTGGCTCCTCACCCAGTGGTTTGCAAACCTTCAATTTGAGATTAGAAAACGTAATAAAGTGAAAGTACAATATGCGGAACTGTGCCTGCAGTTTCCAGTTCTGCACTCGCTCTGGGTTAAACATTATTAAATTTGGCTACTTGCGTGCTCTTTTGTTCCATTACTTGAGGTTAAAATGGAACCTATTAATTTAGCTGGGAAATTCTGGCCAGACAAATATGCAAGGATAATTCAATTCGGTTCAAATCAATCTCAGTCTGGCTCAACTCTGGTCACCCAACACTTACGCAGTGCCTGGTGCTGTAGCGGACTTGGGGCTGGGCATTTCACACGTATTCTATCTCATCAGAAGATGGCCTGTGCTGTTTATTTCCAGAACTATCAGGCAGCCAGGGACTTACAGGGATTTGATTTGCAAATGTGCTTTTAACCGAGAAGGACGGATGAAGGTGAATTTGGGATGGTTGTCAAATTCCTTAGGGACCCAAATGAAGGCAAATGTGGCTCTTGGTTTGCCCTCAGAGAATGTAAGTCCAGAAACTATTGAACAAGATGAGCAGCCAAGAGTGAAGTTTTATTACAAAGTGAGGACTATACTGATCTCTCAGGGCACACTTCCAGAGCTTCAATTTTGCCTTTGAAACAGACGAATTTATTTTTTCTGTTAAGAAAACTCTCTAGGATGTCTTTCTTAACATACATGTTGTTGTTGTTAAGTGCTGTCGAGTCAGTTCAGACTCACAGTGACAATGTATAGGTTTTGTGAAGAACGGCTGGTGAGTTTGAACCACTGACCTTGCGGTCCAGTGCATTTTTCTTACAGCACCACACCAGGACTCCATAAATATAAATATGTATGTATCTATATCTGTATATATAGAGATACACATGTATTTGTTGTTGTTAAGTGCCGTCGAGTCATTTCCGATTCATAGAGACCCTGGTGCAACTGATGGGTTAGAACTGCCGGCCTTGCAGTTTGCAGTCCAGCGCTGATCTTACAGTGCCCCATCAGGAGTCTAATATATACATAAAACAGTTCACCATTTATAGGGAAAATGGCTCAATGAATACGTTTTTAAGTGACAGCTGTTACTTTTGGTGTTCCCGTCTGTGGGTCACTCCCCTCTCAGAAGTGGTCCTTCTGTCTTCTACACCTGAGGAACAGGTGGCCAGGTTGGCATCTTTAACAAGCAGGATCATGAAATGTGTAAGCACTCAGCCTTTGGCAAACACTTTTTGACTAATTGCTTCAATTGCATCTGAAAGAGTGACTACCTACTAAGTCTGCATTACTTAGTGTCGGAACAAGAAAGACCACCAGAATACCTTCTTGAAAAGGCAGATGACAAGATTATGAATCAGATGCTTGGGACTATTTAGTTAGTCTATTCAGGATCCAAGTCAAGAAATAAAACAGCTAGCCTTTCTGAATAGTAAGTGCATATGCAGGAACCAATTGGTGTGTTTCGTATCCATGCCAGACAGTTTAAAGAAATCAATCAACATGTAGTTACTGAGCTCTGGCTTTGCATCAGGCTAGAGAATTTAAAAGAATTTTTTGAGAACTAATTTTAGCACATGGTTTAAAATTAACCCACTTCCTCTTTTGAGAGGCAACCACTGTGCCAGAGGTATTCTAAGTCTTTGCAAGTATGTCTTTATTTGTGTCTGCATTTTTCCCTTTGTTTTAAGGGTATTATTCACATTCTCCCCCCTCCACACACACATACTTAATGTTGTGTTATGTGCCACAGTGTCAGTTCTGACTCATAGTGATCCTATATAGGGTTTCTGAGGCTGTAAATCTTTGTGGGAGCAGAAAGCCTCATCTTTCTCTCATTCCACTTAATACAGTTGGAGAAGTGTTCCATTTAGTACTCAGAATGTTAAGTTATTCATTTTAATAATGCATCACAGTCTGTTGAATGGATTTGTTGTCATACATTTAACTGTATCCTCCTGATGACCATTTAGGTTGTTCCCAGTCTATGACTGTTATCGACAAGTCTACAGAACAGGTCTTCGTGCATGGGATTATACATCAGAGGGGCTTCAAAAAGCTCATGGTTAAAGTTCCATTACCTTTAAATCCCATTGTTTGCCCGTGAACTTTTCAAAGCCTCCTCGTATGTATGTCAGTGTGAGATGCATTCCTAAAATGGAACTGCTAGAACAAAAAGTATGTGCATTTTAAATTCTGATACTGCCAGCTTCATGGCAGTGTGTTAAAATATGGCTCGGTATGATCCTCCGAAGCTGGTTCTTGTTATTTCAATTTGTCATAGTTGGACTATAACTGGGTTGATAGATTGTGTTTCAAAATAAAATGAATTGGTGGCATGGCTGATAAAATCTATCTAACGAAATTCAAATGATGGATGGTTACAAATGTTGAGAATATGTAAAATTAAGAACCAACAGAAATCAGACATTTTATATATATGTATGTAAAAAATGCTAATTTCAGTTGGCTCTTAATTTATATATACATATGTGAATAAATATATGACTGCTTGGGAAACAAACATATGGATTTAATTCAATGATCAGTGTTACAATATTGTAAACAATGAATGACATTATGAGTGAAAAAAACCATGTTAGCAATGAACCTACTGCAGTGAAAACCTATACCACTCAGCATTGGACTAAAATGATAAAACTGATTTTGCTTGTCATGAATAAGATGTCTATGTTTCAGAAACACTGAAGCAAAAGGACTATATTTAACATATCATATGATGTGATCTAGACTCCTGGTGTGGCGCTGTAGGATCAGCATTGGACTGTGAACCACAAGGTCGGCAGTTCAAACCCATCAGCTACTCCTCAGAAGCCCTAAACAGGGTCATTTGAGTTGGAACTGACTGGACGGCACTTAACAACAATAACAAAATCAACAACAACGTGATGTGATCTAAATACGCTGTAAGATAAGCACTGGACTACTAATCGCAAGTTTGGCAGTTCAAACCCACCAACCATTCTCGGAATCTCTATATAGGGTTGCTGAGTCAGAATCGACTCAAAACTACTTAACAACACACATAAAAAATATAGAGGGCCTACATAACTAGGAATCAAATCTGAAAATATGTTCAAATGATTTGTCTAGATTTAGTAGACCAAAATCACTAGTAGACAACAACTACCATCTTAGTTGGAATATTTTCAATGGGAAATTTCATGGGTCTTCTGAAAGATGCAGAGCTACACTGTTATAAATAGTATTCTCCTCTTAAATTGAGTAGGCCCCTCTCCACATTTGGCTATAATCTGGTCACCATACAACCAACACCAAATACTATTAATAAACAAACCCTGGTGGTATACTGGCTGAGCACTTGCCTGCTAACTGAAAGGTTGCAGGTTTGAATCCACCAGCTGCTCTATGGAAGAAAGATGCAGACTTGGAAATTCTATGGGCAGGTCTCCTCTGTCCTATAGGGTTGCTGAGAGTCAGAATCATAGCTGTTTTTCCCCGCCCCCCCCCTCCTTATTAATAAACATCCATGTCATACGTTCTGGTTAGTAATAATTTGTCTGTAAAAATAAGCTCCTTTTGGAGAAAAGGTTAATGTGGATTTCAGATAAATACTCTGGACATCCAGAATTTCTGAAGTGTCCAGAGCCCTAGCCCAACCCTGTCCTGGTGCTGGTTGTGTGTTATCGAGTCGATTCCGCCTCAGAATGACTCTGCACAGGGTTTCCCAGGCTGTAAAGCTTTATAGGAGTGGAAAACCTCTTCTTTTTCCGCAGAGTTGCTGGCAGATTGGAACTGCTGACCTTGCGGTTAGTAACCCAACTCGTAACCCAACATGCTGCTGGGGCTCCTTAACCCTTAACTTTGTTGTGTTTGTTAAGTGCCACTGAATTGGTTCCAACTCACAGCAACCCTGCATAGGGTTTCCAAGGAGCAGCGGGTGGGTTTGAACCGTAAACCTTGCAAATTAGCAGACTACTGCTTATCCTACAGCACCACACCAGGACTCCTTGTCCTTGTTGTTGTAAAGTGTCATCAAGTTGATTCAGACTCCTAGTGACCCTCTATAGGGTTTCTGAGGAATTTCTGGTGGGTTTGAACTGCCAACTTTGCAGTTAGCAGTCCTGTGTTTATCCTATACTGCCACACAATATCTTATTGCCTTTGGATCAGAGTAGAGTTAACTAAGAAGTCTCAAGACAGAAAAGTAAAACTCACTTCTAATCCCAGTAGAGATATTAACATAAAAATTTCCAGCCTGTTCTTCCACATTTAATTCTTAAGTTTCTCTGTGTTAAGTGTATTTTTTAAGTGTTAAGTGTCTCAGTATATATGACTAGAAATTTCTAGGTTCTGTTTTGCTACCTGATTTTTTAAATCTAAAACTGTGAGCAGTTTCCTACCACAATTCAACATTTCAAATAGAGTCATGGTTCATCAAGCAAGTATTTCTTAATTGCTTTTGAAAAGCCCCTGCTATTGAGAGAGTTGTTTATTTATTGCCATTATCTATGATATGTCAGTGAATATCTTTAGTACATAAACTATTTCTTTACTACTCCTTGGAATAAATTCCTAAGAGTGGAATTACAGTTCAGAAAGTATGAACGTCTTTGAGGCACTTGATGCATCGTGCTGGGATTACATATTCGTTTAGACTAGGATCTTCTGAAGTAGCATGTCAGATGACCTACCCATTCGCCTATGTGAACTCACTCAGACAGGCTATCTCCAGGGGCGTGGCAAGGTATGTACAAATGCCTGGAAATAAAACCCTTCTACCAGCATTCTGCACTAGGGTTGGACCACTTCCTGAAACTATCCTGCACAGCTCTTGATTTACCTGAAGGCACTTAAATTCTTTCTTTCCCCTGCTCCTCCAACACTCAAGTTGGGTGAGTTTATTATAGGTATATATATATATATATATGG